ACACACACACACACACACACACACACACACACATACACACACACACAATAAAAATATGGTAAATGGATTGTACCGTATTTATGTAGCACCTTTCTACTCTGCCAGGAATTTCAAAGCTTTTCATGATCTGTGATCTYCATGGTCATGGTGACAGCACGTGATGAATCCTCATTTCAGTAGTCCACACCACTCTTGCACCTATCCTTTACACATGCAAGAACCTGCAGAGGCTCCAGTACGTCCAAAACTCTGCAGCTATGATCCTGATGATCTGTGGACACGGCCCCACCTACCTCAAAACACATCTTGCCTGCTTCACCCGCTCAAACCTTCTTCTTACCCAAAACCAAACTGACGATAACTGATAGRTTCTTCTGTGCTGCTGCTCCMCGTCTGTGGAATGTGCTCGCTGACACTCTGAGGGCACCACAATCCACTGACTGGTTTAAAAAAAGGTCCTAAGACGTTTCTTTTCAGCAAAGTTTTTGGTTCAGTTTCGTAGATTTTTTATCTTCCCGTTAATCCTTTTATTTTATTTTATCTATTATAATTGCTTGTCCTGTTTTTAGCCCTTTGTAGCTCTCTGAGATCGCAAGATAAAAAGGGCACTGAGGTGAAAAAACCACGTCTTCTGTTTCAAGTGGAACTGCTGCTGCTCAATGAAGAGAGAACTCTGAAACAGGCTGGTTGAACAGCAAGAATCTTTATTTTGCAGTCCAGGAGATTACAGCCAAAAACCAAATTGTGGCCTTCAAGCCAAATGATTCACCAAGTAAGAAAGATGGAGAACGAAGGCTAAGGGTGGGGGCGTACAAGGCTCTTTATAGGCTTCACAGATGTACCATAAATTTTGTCACGGTAAACCTTCTTCCTAATATGGTAATATGTGCCGAGCTCTGAAGCTGGAAACTAAGAGACGTAACACATCTGTGCATTCCTGAGAAGAGGCCCCCCACTCTTGGACACTACAGCACTTTTAAAAAAAGTACTATTATTATTATTATTAGATCACCCACTAATAGCTTTTGTAATTTTTTAATTTGCACAGAAAATGTATCTCCCGTTATTTGGGATCTCAGTAGGTATGTACAGTATTTGTGTGTCTAGAAATGGAATCAAATTTTAAAAAAAGTCTATGAAAGTGTGTAAAAACAGATGAAGTGTGTGAGGWGAAGGGGAATTGTGAAATAATGTAGTGAAAGAAAAGGTTATATTGATTTGACTGTTTGCTGTCTGCAGGGTCCTTCTGGTCCAATGGGTCCCAGAGGACCTGTAGGAGAAAGAGTGAGTCACTAATTTATTCACTTTAGAACCATCCCGTAGAACAAATTATTTCTTTCTTTGTCATTGTTTTTGTTTTTTCTTTGTCCTTGTTGGAATCATGGGTATAGTTGTTTCTGATTTTCTCCCACTAATATTAGGGACTTCCTGGCTTCCCTGGACCTGCAGGTTCTCCTGTAAGTAAAGAAAAATGGACACGCAAAAGAACATAAAAAACATTTTAGATTTACATGTTATCTTTGAAATCTTTGTTACAGGGTCAAGAACGGGAAGGACCTCCTGTACGTGTTCACTTGATTTTTTTTATACTTTACCTTTAAATTTTGTGTTATCATTTACATGTACTGTATATGTATTTGACAGGGCCCTCCAGGAAAACCAGGAACCCCTGGAGATGAAGGAAACATTGGACCAGAGGTCAGAATATTTGTTTTTTTCTTTGTCTTGTGTGCGTGTATGTGTGTGCACTCATCTGTGACTGGTTTGCTGTTCGTGTTTGTTTTTGTTTGTCTGTTACTAAAATAAATCATGACCTTGACATATCTCAGGTGTATATCTAGAAAGTGAGTAACATTTGGAGTCACTGTAATTTTTGCTGAGTCCGCGAGGGGACATGGGAGATTTTTTTTGCTTTCCCATGCAACAGTATTGCGTTACCTCGCAATACTTTTGCGTTACCTCGCAATATCGTTTTGCGTTCCCTCGCAATATCGTTTTGCGTTACCTCGCAATACTTTTGCGTTACCTCGCAATACCGTTTGCATTCCCTCGCAAAATAGTTTATCACTGTTGTGCCTGCTGGTTTATTAACAAACTCACATGTTCACTATTAGTGAGCTAGCCTACTGCTTTAATTCAGC